GAGCTGCTCAGTTCTTTTGCAGAAAGGTCAGAGAGGCTTTGGAGAGGTAGATGTTGGTCCTGGACTCCCAGAACTAATGCTGCACTTAAAACGCCAAGGACTTTTAGTTCCGAGTTGATGCTCAAGTCAGAGGACAGTTCTTATCCTGTAAGCACATGCTGTAAAGATACTAGATTAAGAATCAATGATGTATGTGTTTTTCCCCATTTTTTGTTGGATGTGAGTGACATGAGAAATAAAAGCTTATGGTGAAATATGGTATTCTTTTAATGACCCTGCTGTTGTCCTAAAGAATAACAAGTACTTTCTGGGTTGGCTACTCCATCTAGTCCAGAATAGGACCACAAATGTTCTTGAAAAGCAAGTGATAAGCTTTAAAAAAATAATTTAATTCCCCCACACGGCAAAAAGAGTTTAAATTAAAATAGAAAAATTTAATGTTCTTTTATAAATGGAAAGAGGCAAAAACATTACGTTGGGGTGGGCAGGAAAGATGGCACCCATGTGAAACACATCATAACTACCTGTAATTCCAGCTCCAGGGGATTCAACATCTGACCTCCACAGGGACCCGCAGTCATATGCACATACCCACACAATGCATACACATAATTAGAAATAAAAATACATATTTAAAAGAGATCAAGAGTTTAAAATTTCATTCAGTCTTTGAATGATTGAGTTTCTTTAGGTCGGTGGTCTTTGACTGTGACCAAAGGTTTACTTCAGTTTTGAACTACATAATATACGCTATAGGAAAGAATAATAGCCCAAGGATCAACTCTGGGTAGATTTTTATTTCAATGAATAACATAAAACCATAGCTTACTAGAATAAGAATATTTCTCAGGATAGGTTGATATCTCTTCTTTGCAAAAATCCTCATATATAGATAGACACTGCCACTGAGTGAGAACTCTAGTTTAACAGAATCTTTCCTAAGTCCTCTTAGTGAAGAATTTGTTCATCAGTGTCTCCTTTGGATGATATATTTATGTAGTGCAGTTGAAGAATATTTTGTTTTTAAGATTTATTTATTTTGTGTATAGTGTTTCTGTCCTCATGTATTGCCTGCACACCAGAGGAGGGTATCGGAATCAACTATAGATGGTTGTGAGACACGATGTGGGTGCTGGGAACTGAACTCAGGACCTCTGGAAGAACAGTCAGTGCTCTTAACCTCTGAGTCATCTCTCCATTCCCACACTTGAATATTCTTAATAAAACATTTTTTTCTTTGAGACATGTAGTCTCATGTAGCCTACATGTCTCATGTATCCAGATTGGCCTCAAATTCCCTATGTAGTGAAGGATAACTTGAATTCCTTATCCTCCTATGCCTACCTCCTGAGTGTTAGGAGTATAAACATGTGCCGCCATGCTTACTTGACGCATTTCTGGGGATGAAATCCAACGCTTCATGGATATGTGTGTGTGTATAATATATATTATATATATAATATATATATTAGAGTTTTATGTATGCTTCATAAGTGCCCTACCACAGAGCCACACCCTTATGTGCACTTCTAGATGACAATATTTAATATTTCTTTCCTCCAAACTTTTTGAGTATGGTATGGAGGATTTTCTGAGTTAGGAGTGATTTTGGTGGGATTATTATTATCTTGTTTCATATAAAATCTCTATACTGGAGCCATAAGCTTCCATTTGAGGAAAGAGACATGCTGGCAATAGTAATGCTACTATTCCTTTATGCTGGTTGATAAAGGGTTTTACTTACAATGCCAGCTCTACTAACTCCCATAAAACCTACAGGAAGTTTATAGAAATCACAAACCTCTGTTGTTACTATGAAATGACCCAGGGATATCTAATATGAAATTGTCATTTCAAAAACAAAATCAAAAAACCTCCAGATCTTTTGATGGTATTAGAAAATATTCATGTACTATTTCCATATCCAGTCTATTATAAGAAGAAATTTTAAATGTGGGGCTCAGTGTTGTGATGAAACTATTAAGTCCCTGCCTGACCAGCTGGCAAAGCATGAAAGGTTAGAAGCAAGAAAAGGTTATCTTGTTTTTGTTTTTTGTTTTATTTTAAAGGAAGGGAAGAAAGAAAGAAACAGACAAAAGGGAATGAGGAAAAGAGGAAAGAAAAGAGAGAGAGGAGAGAAGGAAGGGGAAGAGTTTCAATGAATTCCACAGACAAAACCAGCTCAGGAACAAACTAGCAATTGAGAGACAACTTGGAATCCTACGCCATCCATGTGGGCCGCTAATAAGCTTCTTTCTATCTCTGTAGCTCGTGGCGAGCCAGAGAACCAGTGGGCTTTCGGAACGAAACAGGTGACAAGGACAGAGCAGACAGGTGGCATGATTTTCCCCAAAGATGAGCTATTCCTTTTAAGATTCTTCCTGGGGTAGGCAGATGGGTCAGCTGTAACAACAGCCCATGTTAGGGACTCTAGTTCCAAAGTACACTAGGTAGAAGTACTCAGAGGATAATTGCTGGGATTGATAAGCATGGTTACTAGAATTTACAAAACTATGCAAAGCCATTCAGATGTCAAACAGTTTCACCTTCTCTATACTTTTCCTCTTGTACTCTATTATCTGACCGCCTGACAGTCAGGAGGTCAGCATTCCAACCTTTGCCAAGTCTGCTGTCCATCAAATGAAACGCCTCATCCTGAGCGGGCTTGGGGAAGAGATTGTGCCAAAATCTCATTTAGGGGCTTGTTTTTTTTTTTATTATAGAAAGTCTCCTTCCTGTTATAGGAATGTCAGGTATAAGCCAACAATGGAAGGGCAGATATTTGACATAGGCAGTCTTCCTGGCACCCCTGGAGTGAAAGGTGGCTTGACATGGTGCCCTCAACAGACTTGACTTCTGAAGAAAGGCAGAGGAAATCATCATTATGGTTCATATGAAAACCTGGAAGCCTGCTATTCTGGGTGGTCACTGTTTGGACTACTCATGAAGCTCAAAGGGCAATCCTTGCCTCTATAAACTGGTGCATGTCTGGTTCTTTAGTTGACAAGCCAGAAGACTCTTTAATGAATGCAAGCCATCAGTGTACCTCGATGCCTGTGGCAGAATGGACTCTGTAAAGGGAAATCATATGTAACCTTGGGGCTATATTTACTTTTAAAATGCTTCTAATTATATTTAATACCAAGGCTATATTAAACATGAATTGCCATGGCATTAACTTTTTGAAAAATCATTTAGAGGGAATTGGTGTACATAAACAAAGAAATATAGAGGAGAAAAAGACATTTTTACGACTGAAGGATAAATAGTAGCCTACCTTCAGGAGAGTAGATGCTGGGAAATCCTTAAGTCTGCACATAATATTCCATTTTTCCCCCTAGGCAGTGAAATGCCAAGCTGATGGGGGACAAAGGAAAATCTCAGGAGGTTTTATGATTGGCAGATGATTCAATAGGGGCACATGTAAGGTGATCCACTTAGAGAGGGCCAGATATTCCAGAGTATACTTGCAGGCTGGTAAAATGATGATCTTTCAATTAAGACCCAGGAAAGAGCTCTAAGAAGCCATGTGGACAGTCCCCTGAAGAGAACAACTTAGTGTCCTGCTATGGTTTTAAAAAAAGGCCAACAAAATGTTGGGCGCTGTCAAGAAGGAGGTTAAAAGACAAACAAAATAAATTTCCTTTTACAGAGAACCACAGGACATCTTCACTGGTAATGTTACATAAGCAGTTCTGATCTGCACATCTCAAGGACAGAACAGAGCCTAAGGGGAACAAAGAAGGGCAATTAAATCACCGGTGACAGGCCTGACAATCCAGAGTTATCTGAGGGACAAGGGACACGATGAAGATGCGGAAGAGGCTAGTGCTGCCGAATGCACGATGCCTTGCCTCGCTCTATCTCTTGAGCTAAGAGGCGCCTTTGAAGTTTTTATTTCTCATGGTTCTACTCTGTTTACACAACTGCCAGGGATGGTGGCCAATGCAGGCAGGCTCCTCTGGGAAGTCCCTGTTTTCCACCAGCAATTGGGCGAAATGTGAGCTGGGTGGGGGTAGGGATCAAACGTGTTCCCATCCATACCGCTTACTTTCAGTGAGCTTGCCTAGTGGACTTCTAGTCAGATTTACCTTGTCCACTCCCATTGGCAGCAGGAAAAGCATACCTGACCAGTCTTAATTTTTATGAATATGAGTTTAACCTCTCTCCATTCTGTAGGACTCTGAACCCCAATGGCCTTCAAACCAAACTGTCTGCCTATATATGTGTATGCTGGTTATTTGGTCCTTAACTCGAGGTTAAAAAGACATTTGGGCTGGGGAGGGATATAGCATAGTGTATAAAAAGCCCTGGGTTCTATCTCTGGCAGAGAAACAGTCCCTCGTCTCCAATCCCCCATCTCTTCCTCTTCCTCTGCTTTCTGACTACACTTGGAAGGGCGTGTAGAGGTAGACGGCAATAATCAATGGTAACTAACGACCGTCAACTCTAATATTCATGCCAGTGGAGAAAAGCACATGTCTCCATGAGAAAACTGAAACATACCCTGTCGGTCTGATGAGATGACACACATGCAAGAAAGGACCAGTGAAGGGATTCCACGCAACAGCCTAAAAGCTTTTATGTTGGAATGGCCTTTATCATACTGTAAAGGAGGTTATGTCATACCTCTGGTCTCTGGCCCAACTGTTTAGTGCTCTCCAACAGGACGGTTAGCATGTTAAATAAGCATAGTGAGTAGTATCTACAAGCTATGTAAGTCAGGCATGGTGATGGCGCATGCCTTTAGTCCCAGCACTTGGGAGTTTGAGTTTGAGGCCAGCCTGGTGTGCACAGAGGGTTCCAGGAGAGCCAGGGCTATGTAGAGAGACCCTGTCTCAAAAAAAACAAAAAACAAAAAACCAAGTAAAAGGTGTGTGAGCATACGATGATTTTTAGTTTCCAATTATTCCTTGAAAACAAGAATTGTGAAGACTGAAAAACATTGCACATTTCCGAGATCCAATCTACCTGCAACTAGCTCGGCGTTACTGCCATACCTTTCACAGATGTGATAGTACTTCTCGTCCTGTATGCCATCCTGAATGGGCACATTGACACTGTAGTACCGACCTTTTCCCAGGCCAACATCAGACATGTCACCTGTTCCTGTAAAAGACAGGAACACTATGATCAGGCATCAGGAACACGAGCACTAGAAAACACAAAGGACTGACTGTCCAAGAGCAATTTAGAAGAGCAAAATGGTCAATTAGGAGAACAATCTAACTTCTTCTAACAACCGTTCCTGAGGAGATGAAACTATGAAAACAATCCAGAGAAATATTTATTATAAACAATGTTGGGGGAAGCAGGAAAACGGGAAGGAAACTGAGAAATAGTAATTTACGTGAGATAAAACAATAAGAGCTAATATCACATGTAATTTTCAGTTATCAGAATTACATGTGGTATGTGATAAAATGATAAGTGGTCTGTCTGTTCACAGACCATAAAAATCACCCAAATTAAAAAATCTATCCATTGTCATTCCCTTTCTCACTGTCACTTGAAGTGATATGAGTTAAAATTTCACACAGACTAGCACAAATAAGGTGCCAACAGCATGGACACATATAAAAATAAGATAAAGAAGCATGTAATGGAATTGTAGAATCTAGACATGTAATATACGGGGAGCATGCAGTTGACTTGCCTGGAAAGAATCCTGGGGAGAATTTGTGCAGGGACACAGTCATAACTTTGGATGTAAAACTGAAGGCATCTTCAACACCTACCAAGAGAAAAAAGTCAGAAGGATCACATCAGATCTTCAACTCCTGTTTTCAACACCTGCAAATTTAAACAAGTAGCTATGGGAAGGAGGTGAGAGGAGAAGGCAGCTATAGTAATACAGAATGACAGAGAAATAAGAGAACACAAGCTGCTGGTTTCTGATTTCAGTAATTACAGACAAGGTAGAATATAGCCCCAATCCATGACAAACTGGAACTGAGCTTCCTCTTTCCAAGCAATAGGATGCCCAAGTTCACCCCGACGTCTATTCGAATCGCTATGAAAGAACCAAGAGTCCAGAACTGAGGCTCTATCCACAGAACAGAGTAGAGAAAAGTGGCACCAGCCAGGCAGGTTCATGGTCTGTTCTGTTTAAGTGTTTCTAGTTAAATTCCTGGGACTTTTTCAAAGACCTATAATATGGTAATCCTTTCAAATATAACTAATAAATCAGTTATTCAACTTTATTAAGTTAAAACTTAATGATGAGGTGCCTCTCTATAATGTAGACTTGGTTATAAAAGTGGGTAACCCAAAGTCCCATGAGCACCAAATAACTTACATTCCATCTTCCTGCTGAAAAATAGTCACGGTCCTGTCCCTTAACAGCTCCTGTATAGGAGGATGTTGCCTTCTGTTTATTTATTTACTAAAACAAATGTTTGTATTTTGGAACTGCTTAAAGGAAGTGAGAGAAATACAATTAAATTCTTGAAACCCAGGGTAGTGATAAAACTTTAAAGGAGTTTGCTGTTCGCCAACTTCAAACTGGTTTGGTGTGTGCCCAGAGTAGGGGGCACCTTCAGTTGTTAATAGCAGCTTTAAAACTGTTTTAAAGCCTGGAGGAAGATGGGGGGGGGGAGCTTTTGTAGACAGATGTCTTCCTTCTTCTTTAACAGTCAGAAGATGACTAGATGCCTGGGAGATAAAAGCTGAGATTCAAAGTAACCCTCCAAAGCCACTAGTTAGGTGTTGGCCATGCTGCCCAGTGCTACCCTCTCCTCTCGGGGTCGCACATTCATACTCAGACACTCTGAAATGGAAGGGCTATTGGTGAATTCAGGTACTGTGTTCCTTTATATTTCAAACAAAGATATTGTCTCTGTGTTGACTTAAATGTATTTAAGTCTTTTTTAGAGGCCAACAGAGACCTTAAAAAAATATGAACTCTATTTGTATATAACAGGTATGTTTGAATTTCCCAAGCCTTGTGTTTTGCCCTAGGGAGGTAGTTAAAACCAGTTAAAGACTTCAGGCAGAAAGCATTAAGTAAACAAAATAAAATAAATGAAAAGACCGTTTCAACAGAGGCAGAAGTACTAAACAAGAGCACTTTATGAAACTGCTAATGATTTATACACCCAGAAATGGAGCAATTTACATTTGCACCAATCCTGTATGCAAATTTCCGTTTTCTCCTGCGATGACTAACGCTGGCAGCTGTTATTTCTTTTAACTCTTAGGCAAAGGAATGGCTCTAAGTTGCATTTCTCTTAGTGTTAGGGCACTACACATCATTTCATGTGTTCAGTGGCCATTTGTATTTTGTCTCACACTAGAAGCTACCAGGTGGGGTTTTAAAAAGAGTGGACTTTAAAAAGGACCTAGAGAGGCAGGGGATGTGGAGCTGGTATCCAGAGGAGGGAGGTTAGGTAGGGAAAGGTGAGGGTGGGGGTAGGAGGGGCCAGTGAAGCCACCCGCAGGATGCTAGTGGCAGAATCATGGGAGATTTAAAATAAAGCAAATGTGTAAGAATTCTGGGGTAGGGCAAAGGTCACTGGAAGAGAGGTGCTGAAGAGGGGAAATAAAGTGAAATGAAACACCCCGTAAAAGTTGGCTGAAACAGGAAACTCGAAATGGTGTAGGAATAACACTGCGAACGCAAAGAACGGTTTCAGGTGACAGTCTTATTTCATTCTACACAGTTTGGCAGAGTGGGGTCTATTTTTGAACTCTGGTACTAATACTCTGAATTCCATCAGCATTTATTCATTCACAAAACAAATATTTTATTGAGCTGCTACTATATGTACAGTACTGACAGAAAGAAGTAGACAATTTGATCTCTGTTCTGGGAGAACTTAGGCTTTCTGTAGGAAGAAAGGATACTTTTAATGAACAATAAGAAGAGTACAACACGAAACAGTGACTAGTGATAGGAACATACAGGGCTTCAGCCACACAGCACGCTCTTGGGCTGGAGTGGTCAGGATAACCCACTGCTGTTGGAACCTGAATGAATAGGGTAGAGTTTAGGGGTACAGTGAGGGAGGAGGTTGCTAAACTAGGGAAAAAGGAAGCAAAGTCAAGGAGGTAGAGTTAGAGAAACATGTCTGGAACACTGAGATATGCTTGCTGAACAGAAAAGTTGCAAGAAATGGTTAGAAAGACGAGGGGAGGCTGATTTGAGGCCTTGAAAGGTGAGATAAAGAAAGTCTACTTTTTCAAGCCAGGCAGTGGTTGGCGCACACCTTTAATCCCAGCACTTGGGAGTGAGAGACAGGAAGATCAAGTTCGAGACCAGTCTGATCTACAGAGTGAGTTCTAGAACAGCCAGGGCTACACAGAGAAACCCTATCTTAAAAAACAAAACGAAGAAAAAAAAGTCTACTTTTCCATAAAGAACGTGGTTTTCAAGGTGTGATCTGTAATACAACTGACGCACTTTCAGAGTAGACTACGTGAGTGACGTACTTAGTCTGAGTATGTGATACCTGGGGCACAGCAGTCAGCACATAACCTTCCCCGGGCCGCTAGATGCACAATCTTGCATGAGAACCATTTCTCTAGGCTAGGAGTCATCAAAGTCCATGTGGCTAGACGGTAAACATCCTAGACGCCTGCACACATTTATATACACATAGACATATGCATACCACCAGGAGGTGGTGGCACACATCTTTAATCCCAGCACTCAGGAGGCAGAGGCAGGTGGATCTCTGTGAGTTCAAAGCCAGCCTGGTCTACAGAGTGAGTTCCAGAACTACATAATGAAAACCTGTCTCAAAAAAAACCCCCAAAAACCCAAACAACAACAACAAAAATAAAAATGGAAACTCATTTTTGGCTCACTGGTCATATAAAAATAAGCCACTGTGACATGCTGCCGCCTGTAATGGGTACTGAAGAGGCTTTGAACATTTTAAATCAAGGCTGTGTCTCACCCTGGCAAGTAGTGAGAAATTCATGGAGAATGGTTCTCAGTGTGTGTGGTGTTTGTTTTTAATCCTTTTCTGTTATCTTTAATTCTTTGTTTCTAGCAATGTACTCCTATCCCAGGATTATATATGTTGGTAACACAAAGAAAGTGATCAATCCGTGAACTGATAGCCTGCAATGAAAACCCCCAAATGTTGGTCCTTCCTATAGCCATTGTACCTTGAGAGAGAAGATCCTCACCTCTAACCCAAGAGCTCCCCTAAAAACCCATTCAAAGGCCCCAAAGTGCTTCCTGGACATTGGAGTAAACACAAGTGAGATCTTCCTATCCTTCCATTTTCTATTATAAAGTTTAGCTTCAGGAGACAGGAGAGAGGAAATGACAGGAGCCTGCCCGGCTTGGGCGGGAGAAAGGAATGGTTTCAGTCCAAGGAAATCTATGCACCACCTAGCCAGCCCAGAAATGACAATTAGGGATATTTCAATAGCATTAGGTAATTCTCCTTTTATTAGTTGCCTAGAAGTAGCTTTATTGATCAAAGCCTGCTGTCCTAGTAGTAAAGTATCTTTGAAACTGAGGGCTTACCATCTCCATGGTGCAGATCCAAATCCACATAGAGAATACGGTCAAATTTCCGTCGCAATCTTAATATTCCCAGGACAGCATCATTGAGATAACAAAAACCAGATGCTTCATCTCTGCAAGAAAACATGTTGCTACAGCCAACAACCAAAAAGCAGTCCAAGGGAGTCTTTACAGCCAAGCATCTAACCTTTGAGATCTAGTCCCATAAAACCCCCCATGTTTTAAGAAAAACAAATTTCACCTATAAGGATTATATAGTGAATGGCCCAGAATGATCAGAAAGTGAAGTGCTGCAACAAGGAAACATTCAGAATGATTGGTAGTGTTTTCCTACTCACAACTCCAGTGGTTTCCAAAGATCAGACTATTGTAGTTATACTGAATAAGATGATGTTTCTATGACAATTAGGGGATCATTTAAAAAAACAATCTTGTAGTCCCCTGGGGTCATGGTCCCCGGGTCCCTTGAGGTCATACCAATAAACACCGATTTCACTAAGACCTCGCTGGGGTCTTAAAGACAAGTTTACAGAAGATGGAGACTGGGTTCTTTGAACAGACTCTATGTATACCCCACAGGTTGGTTATTTTTTATTGCAATATGCTTTGGCACTTGTTAGTCATGAGAACTCAAAGTAAAACAGACAAATGCACAACGCTTTGGGCACAGCGATGTGGCTGCCTTTCTAAGAACGCAATTTTACAATGAGGAGTGCAGAAGCCTCTACTAAAGGTATCTGGCTTCACAAAACCCACTGTCACTGATCTCACTGGCGCCCGGTGACTTTTCTGTATGGGTGCTATCACTTTAGCCTCTTATCAACATTCACTTGCTCTTTTATTACACTTTTATTTGAGCCTTTCTGATTAGATATAAAAGAACACTATTTATCAAGAGTGTATTAGAACTTAGAACTTATTTTAAAGCATCATTCCAAGCGCTAGTTTCTTTTGTTTCCATAGATACTTCAAACATCCAGATCCTGCCCCCTTTCTGATTTCCATGAGATTTTATTTGACACAAAATTCTACACATAGACATTTGAAATGGCACCATTGCTACTGTGAGAAACCTTTCTAGTGTTTACGTAATATAGAAAGCTTCGTGAAATCTTCCACACTCCAAATGATGCCCTGGTTCACATGCTGAAGATGATGAGCAGCGAGTTGGTTAAAAAAAAAATAATCACTGGACACTGCCTGTGCTTCACCGAGGGAACACAGCAATTATTCTAGCTAAATGGCTTGTTACTAGGTATGCGACAGGGAAGAAACCAGGGAGAGCAAGGATGAGTTCAAGCACGAATTCTCTGTGAGAATTAAATGTGTAGCTCTGAGTGTTCTTGCATGTGCATGCTAGTTTCTAGTTCGGAAAGTTTACATTTTATAAATCTGCTGTCTTAATACATGGAAGAGTTAGTGTGTTACCCTGATAAGCATCAGTTTGGGGATGGAACAGTAAGTGCTAGTAAAAGGAGGAAAGAGAAGATGGTCATGAATGACAATGGCCACAACACTGACAATTCTAGTTCTTTATTTTCTGTAGCAATGTGTAATCGTTTCCTACCTCTGGATGGAATTACCATATTAGATTATCAAAATCTCATAAAGTGATGCCATACACATGTAATCCCAGTGCTCAGTAGGCAGACACAGAATCATAAGTTGTAGGCCAGCATGGGTTACACATCAAAACCCTGTCTCATAAAACCAAGGGCTGGAAATAAAGCTCAGACATAGAGCAATGACTAGCATCGCAAAGCTTTGGGTTTGATTCCTAGTATTAAACTAACAAGAAGCAAGCAAGCTCTTAGATTAAGGGAGTTTTGGAGTTTTGTGGGGGTGGAGGGCTGGTCATTTGGTTTACACTTCCAAATCACAGTCCATCTCTGAAGAAAGTCAGGACAGTAATTCAAACAGGACAGGAACCTGGAGGCAGGAGCTGATGCAGACAGAGGCCATGGGGCAGGCGTGGGAGGAGGAGTGGGCTGCTGCTTACGTTTATTTTCATAGGCTTATAGAAATAAATACACATTTAGATAAGATTGCAAAAATTCCCCAAAAATGAGGAAACTGAACTTCCAAGACTTTCAAAGTGCTAAAAAATAATATTTAAAAACCCCATCCAAATGCCAGGCATGGTAGAGTAAGTTTTTAATGCCAGCAGGCAGATCTTTGTAAGTTCAAGACTAGCCTGGTCTACATAGCAAGTTCCAGGCTACTCAGGACTACATAGTCTTTTTTAAAACTTCCTTTTTATTTATCCTCTGTGGCTTTCACATCATACATTTCAATCCCATTCATCTCCCCATCACTTCACATCTGCCCTCTGCCCTTGTAATCTCCCCCCAAAATAAAATAAAATTCAAGAAAAAAGAAAAGAAAAATCTCACTGTAGAAGCTGCAGTGTATGACAGTGAGTCACACAGTAAACCCTTTAGCCCATATACCTTTACTTGCAAACGTTCATTGCAAAGAGTCATGGGTCTGGTTTGAGGCCTCTGGCTTCTGCTACACTGTGGATATTGGGCCCTCACTGGGACTCCTCTTGCATATCCTCTTGTCCTGTGTTGTGGAGATCTGTAGCTTTGGACCTGCAGGTCCAGCCCTTTCGCATGCTCTAGCAGTTCGTAGACGGGATAGATGTTGAGGTGAGCCAACTCATAACCCTGGTTCTGGGCAGGGTTGGGTATCCTGACAGTTCTCCCCAGTCCTCACCACCAGGCTGAAGTCTCCAGCACTGCCCCAGCTGTCCTGTGAGGCAACGAGCAAGGGGCTGGGCCAGTTCTCCTGCTCTCAGGGTCAGCTCACCTCCACCTCCATCACCAGGGCCAGCTCTACTGCGCTACCCAGGCGAGGTGCAGGGGCCACTCTCCTGAGTGCTGCAGCTAATGAAGAGCAAGGACAGCACCCCTGTTCTTCCGACCTCAGGGCCAACTCTCTTAGCTGCCACAGGCAGCGAAGGGGTGGGGGAGCATCTCTCCCTTGGAAGTCGAGGGGTAGGTCAGATCTCCCAAACTCATATTCTGGGGCTGGTTCACCCACACCCTGCCAACAGGGTCAGCTCTACTGTGCTGCCCTGGCGAGGTGCAGGGCCAGCTTTTCTGAGTGCTGCAGCTGGTAAGGGGGGGGGGGAGTTCAGCTCCCTCGCCTGCCGCAGATGGCAGGGATGAGGGGGCAGGGCATCTTTCACCACCACCTGGCAGACAGGGGAGGGGGCATAGCCAGCTATCCCACTCTCACAGGAGGGTCAGCGCCTTCATCTGCCACAGGTAGAGAGGATCGAGGGGCAACGGGGACAGTGAGACTCTCTCTTAAAAAGAAAAGAAAAATATTTTAAGAATTCAAGGTCATATAATTTATGCAAATGTGTTAATAATTAAGACTAATTTAATAATTTACGTGCTAAAATCAGTTATATCTTATTTATCATTTGCACGTATAATATACAGGAGTATTTTTAGTCTGCTTAGATATGTTCTTCCTAAATATTTACAGGTTCATTGACTGAATGAGCTAGCATTACTTCTAACAAATGTTTAATAGTATGCAAAATGTACATTTGTTTAACCAAGTCGAGCCATTATTATGGCAAACTAATTTCAACAGTAATTGTGTTTTGTATTCTACCAGTTTAAGATAATTTGTAAGATCTTAAGGTAACTGAAAACTCTGGCTGATGCCTAATTTAATTATTTCTAAGGAAATGTTGACACATTAGCACAGAACCTTGGGCTTATGTGCATTTGCTTCTTATTTGTGCACGCGTGTATGAATATATGGTACATTTATGTGTTTATGTGTGATCACATACATGTATGTGGCTGCACATGTCTGCACTTGCATGTGGAGGTCAGAGGTTAATGTTGGGTGTCTCAATCTTTCTCTTATTTAATGAAGAAGTGTTTTACTTAACTTGGCCCTCATAGATGCAGCCAGCTTGCCCTAGGGCTCCTCTGTCACCACCTCCTGAGCACTGGGATTACAGGCGACCCACAGAGTCTACCTGGCTTTTATATGGACTGGTGATCCAAATTCTGGTCCTGATGCTTAGGCAGTAAGCATTTATCCACTCCTTAGCTCTGCTTTTATTTATGGAAGTTACAGGAAGCTATATATAAGTATGTTAAAAGATGTGTTCTTTTTGCCACCAAGAGAGACGTTGAATTAGAAAGGATACAGAAAGTTGTAGAGGTTTCACAAAAGAGAGTTATATTTGTTTACATCAGAGCTGGCTAAATTTTGGTGTGTAATTTATCACATTTCTGACAAGAACTTTAATTTCAAGCATATTGATGAAAAAGCCAGTTTTGTTATTTCTGTATTTAAAAGACAAAGAATTTTGAATTCTTGGTCTGTTCTTACAGCAAGCTGGGAATGCTTTGCTGTACCTGCTGGGAGATCTTCTTAGATAACAAAGATTCTGGGTCTTCCCAGAATTACTTTCCTTAGTTCCCTACTTTTCCCTTTCACTGGCCTCGCATATGGTAAACAAGCCCTCTTTTTTGGGATATATTCCCATATTTCTCTATTACTTAAGAAAGCAAAGTCTTCTCACTTAGGAAGGAACTAAGGGCTTTAGTCTTACTTCTTATATGGAAAATATTTTATTGTTACTTAGAACAGAGAGCCAAGCATTATTTTTAACAGCCCATCACCCTATCTTAATCAAGTCTCAGAGGGCCGGGAGGAAAAACCCACAAAGGATTTTTGTCTGACTTCATAAAGAAAGAGGCACCTATGTCTGTTGGCTTTGTGTGGTGTCTGTTGGCTTTGTGTGGTGCATGGCATAGGTGGAGCTGTCAGGTCAGAAGTGGTGATTTGCCTCTCCTAGGTTAAAATGGCAAAATGGTATCAATATAAATATTTCATAAGCTGTATGCTGTATGAGATCATCCATGTCTCCACAGGCCATGATATGTTTCTATTTGTCAGAGTTCAGCTTGCTGCTCTGTCAAATGTTAGACAAGTAGAGGACCACAGCCCTCAGCCATCTGTGAGGACTGCATGCCAACACCCCTAGTGGGTTCCTGAAACCCTGGAAGGTACAAAGCAATTTATAATCATGTTTTTCTGTATGTATGTATGTAAACACCATATGTGTGTGTGATAC